CCGTGTTCTGCCGGCTGCGGCCCTCGGACATCCTGCAGGGGCTCCTGGGGAACTGCTGGTGAGGGCCCGGGCCCAGTGGGCCGTGCACATATATGGGGGGTGGGGGAGAGTTGTGCACGCAGGGCGAGCCGTATGGCTCCTAAGCCTGCCCCCTGCAGGTTCCTGAGCGCCCTGGCGGTGCTGGCAGAACGGCCCGACCTGGATTAAGTGTAATGGAGAGTACTTTGAAGGTGATAAGGTTGTTCTGAAAAAAAGAAGGGGGGAAAAAAAAAACACCTTAAATACATATCTTTGAGGGGGGGAAATGTCCAGTTTATATCTTGGTACCCCCTCGTATACTCATGTGTGTGCCTGTGTGTACTCTGCTCCACTGGCCTCTCTCTGGGCCAGGCCCCTGGGGAGACGGCTCCCTGTGAGGGCTCTGCCCTCCGCCTCTGCAGCCTGCTGAGTCCAGAGCCGCTCTGCACAGTGCTGGGGAGGCACTCTGGTGTAGGGGTCGGCAGTTTGATGTGGAGAACTCTCTTCCTGAACCAGAGGGTGTGGTGGGCACATGTCCTAAGAAGCCAGTGCTTCATACCGTAGTCCACTGATTGTCACACCAGCACGGTTGCTGCCACCCCAATTAGAGGTTGCTGGCCAGGCCTGGCCCTCGGCCCCATGTGGCCCCTGGGGAATCAGGAGCATCCCTCTGCATACACTCCAGGGCCAGCTGAGCCCCTTAGTGCAGGATCTGGGGCTTCCCGCCCTGCCCGAGGTGCAGCCCCATCACCCCTCACCCTTGCATGGGCCTCTCAGCTCCAGTGGGCAGCTGGTGGAGAGAGGCGCTACGTATGTGGTCAGCCTGGCCTCGCCAGGCAACTGGAGTTGGGTGGGCCCAGGCCTGGAGTCAGAGGCTTATGGGCGTGTCCTTGGCTGGGCAGACCAATCTGCAGCAGCCCTGGCAGCCCAGAGTCTCTTGGGGTTCTCTGACTGGGCCCTCTGTCCCCCGACAGCCACACCCACTCGCCCGGGTCTATGGCCACCGTGCGGGAGTGGTCCTGTGCGCGCTGCACCTTCCTGAACGGGGCCGGCCAGCGACAGTGCGCCATCTGCGAGGCACCGCGGCAGAAGCCGGACCTGGAGCGGATCCTGCGGCTGAGTGTAGAGGAGCAGAAGTGGGCCTGCGCCCGATGCACCTTCCGCAACTTCCTGGGCAAGGAGGCCTGTGAGGCGTGCGGCTTCCCCTCCGACCCTGCCCCCCTCACGATCACTATGCACATGTGCCCACATGCTCTGCACACACGTGTACACGTGCACCTGGGCAGACGAGGTAGGGCGCATCAGGGTCCAGAGTCCAGCTCATCCTTGACCTAGTGGACCCTCTGCACACAGATGGTCAGCAAACACCCAGTGCCCCACTGACCATCAGCTGCCCCGCTCCCATTCTTGCCCTGGGGTAGAAGTGGGCTAGGTGTGAGCCATGGAGGGGGGCATAGGAGGGCCTCTGATACTAGGGTCTGAGTTCGAGTACCCACCACCCATGAGCGTCTTGCTCCTCAACTGCTGGCTGACAGGGTCCTCTGGCCCTTCTGCCCTGTCATGGGGTGCACAGCTCTGCTCCAAGGTGTCTGAGGGTGGGTCCTTGGGTGAGTGGCGGGAGGGAGGGTGAGCGATGCCACCAGCATGCCTGTGTCCATATGTACCCATGTGTGTACGTGCATTTGTGTGTGCACCCATGTATATGAGAGGGTACCTCCCAAATGGAAAAAAGCTCCGCTGGGTAGAGCTTTCATGGTACGCATTTTCCCCACTAGGCGAGCATCTCAGTTAGTGCACCCAGTGCCGTTGCCTGGGAAGGTTCAAACACCTTACCAAAACTCCGGCTGTCTTCACAC